TGACAGCACAAATATACTTTATTCAGTCTACTTACTATATACAGCTGGCGACTGATAAGAAAATACTGGTATATAATCATTTGTATACATATATATGTATTGCTCACTTGGTTGCAAATATATATATATATATATATCTCGGATAGTATATCTGTTTCTCTAAAAGACGAAAAAATGCATCCTTCTAATTAGTTTTTCTCTCATTTGAAAGACCATCTGGGTCGTTTAGGCCGTTTCATGTAACTCATTTAAGAAATTATAGAAGCATGATTATACTTGTTATTCGACAGTTTGTTCATGTATTATTTATGAAAACTGTTATGACTATTTTACAATTTCGTGGTTACGATTAAATATTTTGATTTGTAACTGCAAGCGAAGTGATTTTCTGAGTATTGAAGTAGAGCTCAATAGCGCTCTGAGATGCCCTGTGGTAAAGGGTGCTTGCCCGAACAAAAATTATTATGATTTTAGTTTTAATCCAATTTTAATGAAAGTCATTTTTAAACCGCTGTATGGAAAGAAGGAAAACCCACACTTGGAGCTTCAAAAGCACTATTCATTTGAAGGGCGCTTAGATTTCGGTGCAATTCCTGGATTCACCAATCCAATCACCTAAACCAATTTAAACTCATCAGCTTATCCTAAGTCAATTAACTTTATTTCCATTAAAACTCGACTGATGCACGAATTGCTTTTTTTTTGCACAAAATGCCCAATACCCTCACAAAGATGTCCTTGATGGTTTTGTATTACCTTTAGTGTTAATAGGCTATAAAGTAATTAGGGAGATGAAAAGAGGTGGCAACTCAGACGCAGATTCTTCTTCAGTTGCGTTTTTTGTTCGTTTAAAAAAATATGCTCAAATGCCAAAGCCACACACGTCGGTGAAAAAAAATGATATTACACAAATAGCCTGCAAAACACAGATATACAAGAAACTGCCTACACTCTGCGAGGGTAAAAAAAATTGAACATCTACATAAAGCCAAACGGAGCCATTTTAACAATTGACAGAAGCAGTCGTCACACCGACAGATCGGTGTGTGAGGTCATTGCTACTGTCACATTAACAGTATAATTGGTAAATAATTGGTGGAACGTATGCCGTATATGGCATATACTGCTTTGTAGAACCGCTGTGATACAAGGGAAAGGCACTGTCAGTGCCCCTACAGGAGACACAGCCCAAGAGACCTGCTTTAATAAAGTATATATTACACACATGAATAAGTGACAAGAGTTAAAAGAAAATTTCTGTTATCTGGCTTCGAAGGAAATATAACGGTAAATATTACATCTGGCTATGTGATACTGGAAGCAATTTCTATGTACTGTACACTATAAGTCCGTGCCATAGTCCTGTTGCTACTGCCTCAGAATCACCAATGGGTATGAGTACCATCATATAAGTGTAGTGTCTTCAAAAATTACTCACACCGACACGTTGTAACAATAAAAATAATAGGGGTTTTCCCCTGTTTTCTGGCAACAAAACTGAAACCTTTTTACAAGGATTCATGTCTGCATTAACCACAATATTTGCAGTCAAAATGCAAACAAAAAGCACACTATGATAATATATGCATTGTCCTTGAAACTGATTGGTCCACACCAAGGGACGGCTTTCTTTTGAACATCGACCCAATTGGTGCTCGACCAGAGGACACCAAAAGGAATGTATGTTTTTTGTTTGCATTTTGACTGCAAGTATTGTGGTTAATGCAGACACGAATCCTTGTAAAAAGGTTTCAGTTTTGTTGCCAGAAAGAAGGGGAAAACCCCTATTATTATATTTTGGTACTGGCAAAGGAGGTCTAATGACGTTGTAACAAGTCACCTGCTTACACTTTATTCACCTGTCCTTGCATCAGTTGTACGCACACCTATAACTATCTGTACGGTCACATACACTCAACTTCTCCCCGCTCCTATCTATTCTGCACCTCACTTATCCTGCACTCAGCGTCTTCGCACTCAGCGACTCCGCACACAGCGTCTCCACACCCAGCGTCTCCGCACACAGCGACTCCGCACACAGCGTCTTCACACTCAGCGACTCCGCACCCAGCGTCTCCACACCCAGCGTCTCCGCACCCAGCGTCTCCGCACACAGCGACTCCGCACACAGCGTCTCCACACCCAGCGTCTCCACACCCAGCGTCTCCGCACCCAGCGTCTCCGCACCCAGCGACTCCGCACACAGCGTCTCCACACCCAGCGTCTCCGCACACAGCGACTCCGCACACAGCGTCTCCACACCCAGCGTCTCCGCACACAGCGACTCCGCACACAGCGTCTCCACACTCAGCGTCTCCACACCCAGCGTCTCCACACCCAGCGTCTCCGCACACAGCGTCTCCGCACACAGCGTCTCCACACCCAGCGTCTCCGCACACAGCGTCTTCACACCCAGCGTCTCCTCACCCAGCGTCTCCACACCCAGCGTCTCCGCACACAGCGTCTCCGCACACAGCGTCTCCGCACACAGCGTCTCCGCACACAGCGTCTCCGCACACAGCGTCTCCGCACACAGCGTCTCCACACCCAGCGTCTCCGCACCCAGCGTCTCCGCACCCAGCGTCTCCGCACCAGCCTCAGCGCTCCTCACACAGCGTCTCCACACCCAGCGTCTCCGCACACAGCGTCTCCACACCCAGCGCTCCGACACAGCGTCTCCACACCCAGCGTCTCCGCACACAGCGTCTCCACACCCAGCGTCTCCGCACACAGCGTCTCCACACCCAGCGGCTCCGCACACAGCGTCTCCACACCCAGCGTCTCCGCACACCAGCGTCTCCACACCCAGCTTCCTCCGCACACAGCGTCTCCACACCCAGCGTCTCCGCACACAGCGTCTCCACACCCAGCGTCTCCGCACACAGCGTCTCCACACTCAGCGTCTCCGCACACAGCGTCTCCCAACCCGCTTCTCCGCACACAGCGTCTCCACACCCACGTCTCCGCACACAGCGGCTTCCGCACCGCGTCTCCACACCCAGCGTCTCCGCACACAGCGTCTCCACACCCAGCGTCTCCGCACACAGCGTCTCCACACCCAGCGTCTCCGCACACAGCGTCTCCGCACACAGCGTCTCCACACCCAGCGTCTCCGCACACAGCGTCTCCACACCCAGCGTCTTCGCACTCAGCGACTCCACACCCAGCGTCTCCACACCCAGCGTCTCCGCACACAGCGTCTCCGCACACAGCGTCTCCACACCCAGCGTCTCCGCACACAGCGTCTCCACACCCAGCGTCTCCGCACACAGCGTCTCCACACCCAGCGTCTCCGCACCCAGCGTCTCCACACCCAGCGTCTCCGCACACAGCGTCTCCACACCCAGCGTCTCCGCACACAGCGTCTCCACACCCAGCGTCTCCGCACCCAGCGTCTCCACACCCAGCGTCTCCGCACACAGCGTCTCCACACCCAGCGTCTCCGCACACAGCGTCTCCGCACCCAGCGTCTCCGCACACAGCGTCTCCACACCCAGCGTCTCCGCACACAGCGTCTCCACACCCAGCGTCTCCGCACACAGCGTCTCCACATCCAGCGTCTCCGCACACAGCGTCTTCGCACTCAGCGACTCCGCACACAGCGTCTCCGCACACAGCGTCTTCACACAGCGTCTCTGCACACAGCGTCTCCGCACCCAGCGTCTCCACACACAGCGTCTCCGCACACAGCGTCTCCGCACCCAGCGTCTCCGCCCACAGCGTCTTCACACTCAGCGACTTCACACTCAGCGACTCCGCACACAGCGTCTCCGCACTCAGCGACTCCGCACACAGCAACTTCGCATCTCCACCACTACCCTCACCTACGCGCCCTCAGACCCGCTCACCCGCAGGGGGTTCAGCCAACACCCGCCCAGCGACGGCGTGAGGGTTGAGATCCCATTGACGTCTGGAGCGGCAGCAGCGAGATGTCTTCACTACAACTCCCGACTCTCACACCCACTGCCGCTTACATCTCCCTGCTCATGACGAGCCCTCACGTGCTTCCGCTTAAGCCGCCGCAACTGGCGGTTTGTTTAACACGTAGGCTTTCGCGACCAATGTTATTCATAATAAAGGTTTTCGGGTTAGATTGCGTTATTTCTAAATGTGTCGTAACTCTCCACCACCCGACACGGCCAATCAGTAAAAAATGTGTCAAGTTGACAAAAGACAAAATAGTTCACTACTTTAGCCCACCGGTGTGTTGAAGAGTGAATCCACAGCATTTGCAATTTTTGAGTACGACGTTTCGCTGGTAATTACATCCAGCATCATCGGGTAAATTGGCCAGAATAATGCGATCTAACCCAAAAACCTTTATTATGAACTGGCGGTTTGACTGTGCAAACCCCATGTTGCAACGCGCGCACCTGTTTGCCCTCAGTTGCCCTCGGTCAAATGTGCACGCCGCATATTTCACTCCTCTACATAAATACCATCTTATATTAGCAAATGGATAATAATATGAGCAAAAAGTGTACGAGTGTATAAAAATAAGAAATGTATTTGTATACCCACGAAACATGCAACGTTGGGCAAATAATGTTGCACGTTTGCATATTTTTGGAAGATTACTGGGAAAACATCATTTTAACATTTAGAGGCTAACCAACTACATGAGCAAGCTAAGTTTAAGGGAATTATTTTCTACCATCGACCACATACAGTATATCATATTCTAAAAAAAATGGACATCAGAATCTGTATTTATTCTGGAAAAATCCGATGAGTTATGAAGCTATTTTCACAGATGTCCAGTAGGAGTGGATCACAAAGTTACAACCAATACAACAACAAAAAACATCGGAGTGTAAAGAATAGGAAAGATAAGCAAATCGCTAAAAAAATCCATCAAATAGATGAAGTGTATACGTTTAAATATCATTGCATCAAGCCTCTGAAGCCTATAACAGGGCATTTAAATCAGTGGATATTGATGCAGTAATCCAAGGCCTTCAAAGGCGGGTGCCACTGTGGTCAGATGTCAACTCCCTCACCTGGTATACAGGACGTCGTGGATTTTATCCCGACCCGGAGTTTGCATGTTCACCCCGTGATGGAGTGGATTTTTTTCTCTGGGTCCTCCGGTTTTTACCTCCACATTTAAAAACATGCATTTAGAGTATTTGGCTGCTATAAATTTCTACATGATGATAAGCCACTTCGTTGAGCCATCATTTGTGGCCAGGTCGCTTCTGAAAAAGAGCTGTGTAGCTCAGTGGGCCTTTCCTTGTAAAAAAAAAAGATAAGCAGTTTAGTTTTATAGTTTTACAACTCTTAAATATCATCTCGTCACTGCCGTGCACACACGCTTAGCCTACCTGAAAGACGTATCAGCAGTTGTTTTTTTTAGGCAGCTTGGAGCAAATGGACAACTGTGAGATAAACGAGAGCACAGCGCGTACACCGATCCCGCTCAGAGGAGGAATTGTTTAATCCTTTAATAAGTCTACATAATTGCGGAAACATTTCACCACAGCTGATCACTCATCTGCGCCATGAGAGAGCTCATAGTCTGGTGAGTTTCTAGCAATTGAGGACCTGTGAAATACTTCACACCTCCATGTCACAGACTGCCTACATGGCTGTGTTGCTATCAGAGGGCATTTCGGAATGGACTGATGTTTTCTCCTGCACATAGATGCTGAAACTATGGTACTCGCAAAATATGATTTGTGAACTAATAAAAACTAGAAAAGATTCATGTAAACTATTTGCTGTTTTTTTTTCTTCATGGTTCTTTCGGTAAAGACTTTTCCGAAAGAACCAAGAAGATGAATCCCTGCAGTCACGAAGGCTTTAAATCGAAAAAAATTGGCTGTTTTCTTTATCTCAATTGGATGCTAATTTTAATAGGTTGCATTCACACAATACAATTTTGATTCATATTGTGCGAGCAAGATTTTGAGAGGTGGTAAGAAACGTGTTCACTCTTATCTATTCATTCACTCATTAATTGTGCGTCCATATCAAACCAACTTGGACAGATCAATGATGAGCCTGTGTGGACCGCAGGCCCAAGCACCGTCAATTGTTGGTGTTGCGCGGCTCCTCTAACAGACGACAATGGAGCGGATGAGGCATCGTCTGGCCTTCACTTGTTATCCATTACAACTTTGACATGGTCGTTGTGTGTCTGGCCGCTTGATGTTTTGGGCTTTTGGGTCTGTGCTCAGTAACTGTGTTGAAAGAACAAATATGAAACTACAAGAATTAGTTGGCAAATTCGTCAATGATGTTTGCCGACGAGTTGGAGTAAATCCGCGCATAACCCCACGAAGTTCTCCACATATATTTATGGTGCACTTCTTTCGCACCATACATAGCCAACCGTGCTAATCTGAGATTTAAAAGGGCATAGCTCCATTGGATTCCGAATATCGGAAGCCACTCGGCATGTACAAGTGAAGCTCTACTGAATATATCCGTATCCATGAAAACCCAGGGAGAAATAAGAAATGTATGAAAATAACCCGCCCTATGAAATAACTCAAACATGATCGTACTGATAAGAATCTGACTGTGGATCCTTTTCTTCGAAGATACATTTGAACCTCATGGCGGGACTCCGGGGTCTTAAAAAAAAACGAAATTAATTAATTTATTTCTTTTTGACGACTATATCCAAGCGCAGCATCGAGGACGAATGTGCAGAGAAGCTGAACAAGCGAATGCACTCCATGCTCGGGTATGGGCAGGATCTTAAGTCTCATCCAAAGCTGCTCAAACTGCCTACACCACTTAAGTCCTTTATTTGTCATCACGGTTTGCATAATGCAGTGAAACTGCTCTCTTATCTTCATTATTATTTGTGACCTACCAATGTCTGCAGCCAGGATCAATCGATGACAATCCTATTACCTGCAGATATTTAACAGATGAGATGCGTTGCACCGTTAATTCCTCCTGTTAGATAATTATAATACGTATCTTGTTCGTATCAATGCGGATAAGATGAGCGGCGACCCACTACTCTGTAGAGTAACATTGGTGTAAACGCTTGTTACAATATGAACAGCGAATTTAAAAAGAGTACTATTTAAGTACTGTTTACAAAGTGTGTTCACAAATCCACACTGAGAAACACGATGATTGACAGAGAGGTGTACATTATTTTTTCAATAGTGTATTTAAATAAAGGTACTGCAGGTAAGTAGTTTTCAGTTTTAAAGGCATAGTTTAACAAGACAACACTTGCCACAATCCTTAAAACCCGTTGGTGAAAAAGAGCAAAGTTTTTGTTTACATTATAATGTAATGTTTACGCGAGAGCCGGGGGCTTATGGGACCCCGGGGTCCTGTCATAAGGTTCATTTGTCGACACAAGCTTTGTCCGCACGCCTCCCATGTTTATCAGTTTGCATCGAAAACAAAATCACCCCGTATTTGCGAGCTTCGTCTGCCCCCAAGGGTTAAAATGAGACTTAAGCGCTGTTAGTTTCTCTGGAAGTTCGTTTCCTCTCCGATAGAGTCGAATGTCCCACGGGTAAGATGTTGTGGAGTGTGGTACGGGAATGGGATTAAGGAAACACTAATCACCACACAAATAACTATAACAACCCGAATTATTGCTCATCGCTGTAAAGCCTGGAGCAACGCCGACGCAGATGTTACCCAAATGGAAATCTGTTATAGAATGTGCCACGTATTGAAACGGCTGACTGTTTTTTTATTATTTCACATAATACGTAGAGTAACAACTAACCGCACACGTTTACTGGTAGGAACCTCCTGGTTACACCAGCCCACAGGGGATTATTGTGTCCGTCCGTCCGTCGTGCATCCAAACATGGGAGGGGTGGGGCTGGGTGGAGAGGGGAGGGTGAGGAGGGTGGGGCTGGGTGGAGAGGGGAGGGTGGGGAGGGGCTGGGTGGGGAGGGTGGGCCTGGTTGGGGGGTGGGGCTGGATAGGGAGGCGCTGGTCACCCCGTGGTGCCCTTATAAAACTCAACGTTTAACCTACTCACGCCGGCTTGTGCCCGCCCTCACAGTCGGCCATATTTGCGGAATACACCACGCCGCCGTTGACCCTGGCCATTGACCGAGCAACCCAACATTCCTACCAGCTCCCTCCGCAGGAATGTGTTTCTGGGATATGCACAAGAGTTACGTAAACAAACAATAGCCATTACCCCAAGGCAGAGGAGGACAGCAAAATCAAAAGATTGGATTCGTAGTATTACAAATGTTATTACAAATCACATCCAGTTTACACATTTTACATGAAAACATAATATATATATCAATCCCATTAACGCACAAATAAAATAAGAGGACATTATTATCACTACAGTATTATGTTTTAGCAAAACCCTACTGCTTTATTACAATACAATTTCAACTTAAGTCTCAAACCAGTACCGCTAAAAATGTTTACAAGATATGTAGACACCGAAGTGAAACAGTGGACATCTATTTTAAAGGCAGTCAGTCAGTCATAGGTAGAGGGGGGAAAGTCAGGGTCTTGAACCTGGATTTGGACAGGTGCAGGGAATCCACAATACACACGGCTGGGGGAAGTGAGTTCCAGATCATGGGGGACAGCAGTTGAATATTGCTATTAAGCATCAATAGGACAGCATCGTTTAAGTAACATTTTGGCTTTTTTTCTGGCTCACAGAATGAAGTGCAGTGACACGTGTAGTGTAGGCATCCATTCAACAGTGTATAATAAAGCCAACAAAACCAGCTATACTGTAGTATGTACAATACTTGTACACAGCTTTTATAGTCCATCTTCAAAAGGCTGACCCACATTTACCCATTCACTCTGGTGCATCAGATTCCAAATGGGTATCCATCCATCACCAAACCTACCATCACAAAACCCCAATCTCCTTATCCAGTACGTTTTACTGCAAAGCCGTACACCCTCAGTATTTTCTGTACAAGACCACGTGGCCAAAACGTCGAGATCTTACTTTATTCTCATTGATAGAAAAAATAACCGTCATCAGTTAAATGTTATCTACTCTTTAATCCATAAGCTAGGTAAAACAACACCAGTGTACACAATATAGTGCAATATAGTCGTCATCGTATGGAGAGACTTCCTCTACCATAGCGATGTGAAATTTCCACTACTGCCTCGGGACCGCCATACGTGCTGAGCCCTGCCAAGCTGTTCACTCGAACGAGATGACACCTTTGCACACAAAGACAAAGATCCCCCATATAGCCTTAACAAACTGTCGGGGCAAGTCCTCTTAGCGAGCACCTAGCGAGCACACTTTGCACACACACACACGAATCCTACACCAGTGTACATTCGGGTGTTGCTGTTTTTTATGCTACGGAACCAATGCACACTTTAATAACCAGTGTGGACAAGGATCCATCAGACCCCAGTCCAGAAGAAGTACTCTCCATCTGAAAGCAGAAATTACATAATCCTTGCTGGCAAATGGTTGGGAACCAAGTTTCATCTCACCTGTGAATATTCCCCCGCGGTGCTAATACAGAAAAAGGGCTTCATCACGAGCCAGTGCTCATCACCAGCACCCGCCGGTCTGGCAGGGGTTATTTTATTCACACTCACTGACACACGCAGCTATACACTCAGGCTGGGTGGTAACTGTGGCTAGAGCGCATGACGACTCACCACATCCGATTCGCACGCTTGGCTAGGAGTACGGTGCGAAAGAAGGTCATCATACATGCAAGGTTGTGAATTCAAATCGAGCTTGGGGGTCGAATCTGCCTGCCATTCCTCCAGGGTTGATGAACTGGCAACCACACTGTGGATTTCCTTTAGATAGACTGGCTGCCATCACGGGCAAGTGGAAATTTCCACGATTGTTTCGGTGTTGCCAACGCGCATAGACACAGGTCCGCTGTATAATTATGAGGGGGGGGGGGACATTAACATATATTGAAAATTCCACTCTGACGTTGTCCCCTATTCGTTTCGATCGTCAATGCGCTACTGAATACACACGGCTTTATTCTGAACACTCGGGTAGCATCCATCATTTTAGGCGCGATTCTCAGAGGAATTGCACATGGGAGAAGCGCAGCATCTATCTT